AAAGAAGTGCAATAGTTTTGCGCAATGCATTTTTTACGATTCAATTTTATGCGTTCTGCCCGTTGTGTCGTAATGTTTTGTTTAGAGTTGATTTTTACTTTTTACTCTAATAGAGCCCTGCTCTATTAGAGTAAAGATGTAGAAATAGGTCATATATATAAAGCGAGAGCCTTTTTGTTGCTTCCGTGATAAATGTTTATTATTTTGCTTAAGCTGTAAATTAAAATACTAACCACCAGTATTTTATATGAACCTAATTATGACCTACACTGAATTTTCATATAACGTAGATTTGTCGACTATATGACGATATTATATTGTGTAGAATGCGAGTGGTACGCGTTTAATAAGACACGCGTACAAGTAAATCTATTTAGAAATCCTGACTGGATTAAAATGAAGTCGTATTATATTTTTAGTCAGTATTTGATTCATCAATCAATTAAAATATACGAAACATTACCTAAGCGTGGTACTAATAAAAAAGTTGTTTATTGATTTTACTTAAGTCCACAGATAGATAACACATATAAAAAATATATATGAGTTTTATACAGGCAACTAAGAATTTCGAAATCACCATAAACAACAAATAAATAACAGGCTTACCAAAATTCAATGGAAAAGACGTATTTCAAAATATTCAACGCCAAAAGCTAGTGACGTAGTACCAACATTGCCACATAAATCGACGAACATGTGCATTGATGTTTCAATTTGTGAAACAATGGACTACATTTTAGCTCAGCCGTGTTTTAGTTTCAGCTTGTAGTGCCCGGAGGTCTGAGACAATTATATATAATTTGTTTCATTCGCTTCATTGAATATAGAAGTAAGCTTTAAATATATAAGCTCTTAATGTTAACTGAGAATTAACACACCAGCATGGTGGTCTTAAGCTGAGAACTTAATGGGTTTACGCTCTTAAAACCCCCTTTCTATGCCCAGCTGTGGAATTAATAGAATAACAAGACTATCTTTACCTAAATATATATAGTTTCCGTGGGAGTATAATACAATTTTTACTCAAGAATAAGTCTACTCTCTTATTATTCCTACTCTGAGGAGTCTCTTCTAAAAAGCCGTCAAGTTTAATCGATTTTCTGTCAGTCTGCGGATTTCAGAATATTCTAAGCCAAAGTAGGTCGACATCGCACCTTGTTTAGATGTTATATGGGGTATTTCTATACTATACTATAACTCTGTGTCCGTCCTTTTCTATTAGAAAAAAAAAACTTAATGGCAAAATTATTTTTAATTACGCCCCATTAGCTCGTACGTAACTAGAGCTTCAGAATTGAGCGTTCTATACTAAGAGCACCTCCTAGTAAATATACCTACTATTGACTACGAGCTCGCTAAGATTATTTTAAACAGGTCCTTTCACTGGATGAAAGCAAATCATTTAGAGATGATGTTTTATTGCAATGTTAATAGCGTTCCGAGGTGCTTTTTGAACTTACAATAAAAGGGAAAGAGTCTTGACAGTGCTATTTCCTTTTATTTAGTGGAAGCGTTACGAATCAAAGCCGTCAGGTGCAACTGACTGAGATCATTAGTACGATTCGTTCTGCTAACTCCTTTCAAAAGATGCCCCACTAACGCTCTTTTAAAAGTTGAAAGTGATTCTGCAACTTTATGTCTGCGTGTTTTAAATTGAGTGCGAGATACGACGGGTTTTCAGTTATCTACGTTTTCAAGTCATAAACAATGTATTTCATAGTATTTGAGCTTTTGTCGTTTTTCTCACACTTAATATAATATGTATTCACAGCTTTTAATTTCCCCTTTTTTTAACTCAGCTTTTTTGTTTGGTATATACTTTTAACAAGAAAACCTAGTGTAGATGCGGTCTACCTTTATATCCCTATTATGTATTTTAAAGAAGCTCTCAGATAATCAAAGTTTTCCCTTTTTAAGTTTTGAGAGACTTGTTATCCGCTCTATGAAAACTTTAATATTTTTCACATGATGGCACTGTTTATTTAAAAATCGATTATATAGTACTCCACAGCTCAATGGATTAGAGCCGCTGTGAGGCCGTTTCAAATCCTGCCCGAGTCGAAAACTTTGTCGATTTATAATCGATTTTCAATTAATAGCGGATAATATAGTTTGATTTGAAGTGCCACGTCTACTCATCGACTCTGTGGAACATGCTAACTTCACACTTCGTTTCGATGTCAGTTGATGATCCGTACTAATGACTTGATATTTAAATTAAAAAACTATATGTTAATAACTATGTGTAAACAAACCAACTCTTCAGCTTTATATATTAGTATAGATTCCATTTGATATCATAATTAAACCATTAAAATTATTAAATTTGATAACCAGAATTGTATATTCTTAATTAAAACAATTAATATTAAAAAGGTAAACACCTAAAACGAAATGTTTACCCCCGTCTAGAATACCGCAACACTGCCATCACTTATCAATAGATATTTAAATTCTCTTTCTAAGAATTAATCAATACTTATGTTATAGAAACAAAGTTGTACAGAATTCTATTATTAAACGGGTTGAATGAACACGCGTAGGTGTAGAAATATATAACTAAGTCTGTGTTATCTTAATATAACTTTAAGTTAACAATTTTCATCCGAACTTTAGTATTCCACCTCCGAATTGTATGTTAATAGTATAATGCGTATTGTTTATATTTGCAGCTCATACAAATTTGTAGGTAAACGAGCTCCCCTTATCTTGCCAAAAGCTCTGTAATTATGAAATCCTGAAATTGGCAGGTCGGGTATTCATTTTGCGTTGGATCATTTAGTACTAAAATTCTGTCTATGTTTATACGTAAAGAGATACTTTTAGGCATAATATCTCATAAATTATGTTGCTCTTAAGAATAAATTATTTTTATCGAGTAGTGTAAAACAGATTTCTTTAAAAAAAATTATAAAAAATTCGGGGATAAAATATAACTACACTTCAAACAAAACACTTTAACAGTTTAAAATGCGAGATACATTAGTTAATCGTATTTGAAAATTGTTTTAACAACGTCTCGATATTTCGGATGCTTTGCAGCCATGGTCACAACAATATATTTTTTACATAACTAAAACTTTAACCAATACATATCGCGTTTTAAACCGTTAAAGTATTTTATCTTAATGTGTACCACTCGCATAAACTAGAGACAGTATATAACTACAGATTCTTAATATAACAATCAAATCTTATTTTAAACATCTTCTATTGACTTTTTATTTCTAGTTACGAAATAATAAAAAATGCTCGTTTTGTAAAAATAAAAAGTGGTTAACTTATTAAAAATTAATTCTTCTTAAATTTTTATTCAATATATAATGTAGGTATTATATGAGGCCGCTAGAGGCGAAGTAGCCTAACTACAATTTAATGACTAGAGTTATTTATATTTCCATAGTCTAAAAATGTTTATACATAATTCTTACACAAATAATAGTAACTACAAATTCACTTTCGTCTAAATTAATTGCGCATTTTTATTTTCTTCCTTATTGAAAATCATGTTCTTTGTTATTAGGCCACTCTACTTCTAGCAGCCTCAAATATAAGATGAAAAGAAGGATCATCATAATATAGCAATGCACATGTTATAGTATAGTTATCAGTAAGGAAACTGCAGCCGCGTGGTGAGTGCTGAATCCGATCGATAGTTCGCTAATGAGTGGTGCGTGACGTGCGGTTTCAACATGTGTGAATCTGTGGCGCAAATCTGGACTGTGACAGAAATCACACTATACTCAAATAAATTATAATAGCACAAAATGGCTCCTGTTTTCTCAACTTTTTCCTATCATTCAGCCATTGTAAAGCTCGTTCTGCGAATAAGTAGTTCTATAAATGGACGCAGCAATTCGCGGCTGCTGCAAAGCATCCGAAACGTCGGGCCGTAGTTAAATTATTTTTCAACTTATACATATATCGCGTTTTGAACCGTTAATGTGTTATAGATATATCAAATAATGCCTATAAAACAGGAAAAAAGAGGATAAATATGTACCTAATAGTTGTCTGTGTATGCCAATTTTATATTTTAATGCATTATTATCTATAAAAATATATATTCTGTATATTATAAGGGAGATGCACAGCTATCGCAAAAGGTAGTATTAATTTGTTTCTCATTGTATTCAAATCGCATGTATCCGAGAAGACAATTTGAGATAATGCTTCCATTTTTATTTAAACAGCGCTTGACTTAACCATCTTTGTGGTTTATTAGATAAACGTGATATCTAATATTGTGCTAAGCACAATGCTCGTGTATTTGAATCCGGAGTAGTATTTGTTTGGTCAAGCAGGGCACAAAATTCTAATCAATTGGTCTGTAAATATATCGATTCGATTGAGTGAAACAGTAAATTTCAGTCTGTCCATGAGTAACATAGGACAAGACTTCTTTTAATTTATTTTAAAATTTAAGTCGTAAATTCTAAATTAATTTTGTTCACTGTACTCTGGCACATAATTAACTTGTTAATTTTAGCAATTAAACTTGCAGATAAAATTTCTTTAGCAGTCCTTGGATTCTACGATATAAGAATAAACGATATATCTTCGGTCTAACTTGGTTCGTTCCGACAGAACGACATTACTCACTTCCTATCTGATGTCTCTGCTAATTGACTAGAAATGCAGATACTTCCTCGCTGCAGCTATTTTAACCTTCTATAAATTTATACTTTCATCGATCTTGATCAGTTACTTTTGAAACCGTAATGGAAAATAATAAAACACAGCACTGAATCGTATTATTTTTATTACATTCATAATATTTTGGATCGTAAAAGATGCATAACGTCCGAATATAACATCTCATTTCAAGCAGATTTAAATTAACTTTTATAAAGTGGAGTCAGTAAAACAAGTTAGTATACAAAGGCAAATTTAATTTATGGTCCAACGTATACTACATGAACGGACCCAATGTAAAATTCCGCATTACATTCTCACATATTATACAATATTTACAGATATATGAACACGATGGGCGGCTAACTGTTGGCAAGAAAAGCGATCGCAACAACTGCTAGCGCAAGAGACTCTAGTCGGTCACCCACTGGGTTCGCGCCCGCTGCGGCCCTTGCGCGCGCGCTTCCCCCTCCCTCGCTCCTGCAAACGGACCCTGCTGCACTCGACAAACTCCGACCCCGCACCTTCAACGGAGATATGCAGAGATTCTCCTCCGCAAAATTCTGCGTCAACGCCAAGGGATTCATTAGAGGATCTCTCCCACACTCACACGGCAAATGATTACCGCGAATGATAATGCTCTCCACCTCCAAGACCACAGACTCTGGCGCCTCCAACATATGATTCCCGGTCATTTTAAACGTATTAACGCTATTATTGTGTACTAACGAAAGCTCCTCGATACCGTCGATTTTATTGTTACAGATTTCCAGCACATCCACATGTCTCAAGCCATCGAAAGCCCCGACGCGTACGACCCCCAGATCCGATTCGCGTAAAGCCAATCGCCCGACATGAGTTAATCCAAAAAATGTATCGGCCTGTAGTCCCGGTAAATCCATATAAGCCAGCTCCAATACACCGACGCCCTCTAAGCCGAAAAACGCCTTCGGTTCGATCGACTTAACCCCGGACGGTAATTCTATTTGAGACACATCGTTAAGACCGGAGAAGGCATGCGCTAGGATCCGTTTTATAGGGTTATGCTTGAGCGAGATGAGTTTGATGAAATTGGTTCCGGCGAAAGCGTAGCCCTCGATTTGTGCTATCCGGTTGTGCGATAGGACTATGGTGGATATGTTTTGAAGAGCAGCGAATGCGAAAGCGTCAACAGTAGCTAGCGGCGTGTGTTGTATGTAGAGTTCATCCAAGCGCGGCAGACCTCGGAAGGCGAAAGGGCGGATGCGCGTCAGATTACAAGCGTCGAGAGACAGGCGGCGGAGTTGTCTGAGATGGGCGAAGGCATCGGAGCGTAGAACACGGAGATCTGCACGCGACAGCGATAACTGCATTACGTTTGGACTCAACGCTGACGGAACACCACGCAAACTCGCACTGTTGCACACAACCTGCAACAACGGAATCCATTTGAATACATTTTCAAAAGTTTTATCATCGTTTAGAAGTTATGGAGAAGTTCCAACTACGTGATAAATTAAGATTGACTACATTATAACAGTAACGAGAGATGGTCCGAGATTTGCGGAACCGAAATTCGGACGTACTTCCGGTAAAAAAGTAAATCTTACAGTTCACCATTTTTGAATTCTAGTACAAGTTTTAGTTTAAAAAAAAAACATATATTTTCAATTACGTCTGTTTAAAAAGAATCTTAATACTCATTTTGGTAATATTAAAAAAAGTCAAATGGTTTGATTATTCTATTGCGCTAATTTTTGTAAAAACCTGACAAATTCCAGATCTTATAATTTTATTGAATAGTTTAGAGATGTACCTCCAAGAAGATTATAACTGTATTTTGGCCTAGCCCTCATCATTATATAATTCATTTGATACAGTACGACCGTCATGCGTGAGCGTATCGGATAATCGGCGCGTCGCAATCGCGACTGTTTGTTTTGTCAATAAAATTAATCCCTCCCGCGCACACAGGCTCATGCCCATATTGTGATTGAATCCAAACTTAATCTTTACAAATAACCGAAACCAAAATCGAAAATTATATCGACTCTTATATATTTATAATTGTAATGAAACACTACGTAACATTAACAGCATTATTTTAGGTGCAATACGGCTTGTAAAGAAAATTCGTCGGAAAATTAACGTTATTAGTCAAAGGGTCTAGAAAATGAGCTCGTTGGGATGCTTTCATTTCAATTGCCGGACACCAGGTGTTCGGATCCATTATCAAAATAATCTTTTAAAGGGAAAAATTATGCCTTTTAAAAAGATGCTGCTATGTCTATAAAAATCTAATGAACGAAAAGGTTTGTTTGAAACTAATATTATTCATGAGATTTATAGTAATTAGATGTAACTGTTATGATCATTAGAGCACTGTTTTTCTTATACCTATACTATTATTATATATACTTCAGTACTATTTAAAAATTAAGTTTATAATTACCTGCGACTGAGAGAGGCAAATGCACTGCGTGGGGCAAGCAGGCACTAGCGTAGGTACCAACACTTGGTTGTTCACCGGTACAAACAGCACCCACGTCAGGAGAATTGTATAATGCACCACCCACCTGTAAAAATCAGACGCTAAAAATCCACACACACTCACTGTTCGTATAGGAACCAATGGCTAACCGTCGGACCTCTGTGTCGAGCCACTACAACGGTTTGAGACGTACGAAAAGGACTAATATTTCTCACTGACTAATAATACTTAAAACAGTTAACATTTATATGTTATCAACTATGTTGTTTTGTATTAAAGCTTCAATGAAAATAACTTTAGTAAGATATTAAATCTTAGACGAGTAATAGTCTAATTATCAAACGTTTTAAATTAAACATTAAACACGCGTCTTTGACTTTTAAAAAACTAATAATATTAACTTATATATCTCAATTATATATTGTATATAACGTGTGTAAGTTAGTTCTCCAAGGAACCGGCCAGTTCACCGAGTACCAACTACGACAGAACAGATGGCGCTAACGTAGCAGTTTTTACTATTAAATTAAGGACACCTTCCATCTTAGTGTCTCAGTGAGCACGGCTGCTACAAAGCTTCCAAAACGTAAAGCCGTAGTTAAAATAGTTTATAAATGTTTTATTTAAATTGTATGTACATATAACAAAGTGTACTCCGAAATACGATAATGGCATATTGAGAAAATGTACCTTAATAGTTAACGGTAATCATTATAATTGATTGCAACAGAACATAATTAATTTAATTGATGGTTTACCTGATGGATAGCGTGGGAGCCATGGGCGGGCGCAGGCCGAGCGTGGCGCCCGCCTTGCGCCCTCACCTACGAACCTCCATTACCCATCCCGCGAGGACCTGCCGGCAAATACACGTTTATTTTAATTATTCACTGTTTATGTTGCTTTCGAATTTTAAACGTGTAAAGGTCGTATTGTTTCTTACTTCGTAATTATACTAAGCGCTTTTATATCGATAATGTGTTTTTTTACAGAGGAGAACAGACAAGCTTGGGGTTCATTTGATGTTAGGTGAAATACCCTAGCCATATAACATCTAAGTTGTGCTGCTGACCTATGTTGGCTTTAGATATTTGGAAAACTACATATTGAAACCGGAACACGAGTAAACTTTAATTTTTCATCTGTTGTCGGTGGTTTGTAACCCGTACTACATTTTGATATTCCTACCACAGATTTATTATGGAGATTCACAGTCCAACATGTTTCAGAAAAATTAGAAAAATGTTAGACCCGGTAGGGGTAGAACCTACGACCTGTTGATTATTACCATGTATACATAACTATCATTACAAATTGTCTGTATTATTAGTAACAAAAATCAGATCGCCATTTCTGTATATTTATTACCCGAAACTTTAAGCGATTACCATAAATAGTAAGTTTTAATTTGAAGACACGTAGACGCTTTTCATACAATCATACATGTTTTTTTTTTACATCTGCTAGTGCACAATAAAATCAATCGCTACGATAGCAGTTGAAGTCAACTATGCTACGTATTTTATGAAAACCCGTTTAACATATACCACTTTAAATACTGTCTATAGTTTACGCGAGTAGTACAGATTTAAATAAAACACTTTAACGGTTTAAAACGGGATATATTAGTTAAACTTATTTGAAAATGATTTTTAACTTCGGCCCGACGTTTCGGCCGTGGTCACGGGGAGACTCTGCTGCAAAGCATCCGAAACGTCGGGCCGAAGTTTAAAATCATTTCCAAATAAGTTTAACTAATATATCCCGTTTTAAACCGTTAAAGTGTTTTATTTAAATCTATACCACTTTTTTATTCCCAACAGTGTCTTAGTAACACGTGCCTGGAATTGAAATAAAATACAACTGAATTGTTTTCTCCATTTATTCAAAATTCCAAATCCTTTAACTTGCTACGAAATTACGTTTCAACAAAAAAATATTAAGCGTCTTATTTCCAACAGGAAAATCGCTCGAAATACACGATCACAAATACAACCGAATGAAATTTCAAACGGACTAATATAAAACCAGTTTCGATTTAACAGTCTCCTGCTTCTGAGAAAAAGTACATTACAATGTAGTCAGTTTCAATTATACTTAGTAATTTAAGTGGAAATTGAAAATGGCGGTGTACCAAACTAGTATCTCGAAGAATTACTTCCAAATCGTTGTTTGACAACCCACACTGGAGCGGCATGGTGGGTCTTAGTTTATACCCTCTCATCTATCCATACTAATATATAAAGGTGAAAAGTAAGTTTGACAGCCCTAATCTCAAAAACTACTGGTTTGAATTTTTTTTTATTGAGTTGGTGAGAGCAATTATCTTATTATTAGAGTCTTTGGTACACAAAGCATCACGATGCAAAAAATAAAAAAAGGGGAAATATCTTTGAGGGCTTCCGCTGCATGCAAACGGTTCAAGATATGAAAAAAATATGTACGAAAGATAAATCTCTTTAAATGAATTATTTAAAAAAAGATTAACTTGCCTAGATTTAGAAAAACGGGACGGGACCGTGTGGATAACAAATATAATTATAAAGATGAGGAGGAGGTTTGCAATAGCAAATTTGCTACCGAAAATAACTATTCTACGCAGACGAAGTCGCTGGCACGGCTAGTCTAATAGAAGACATCTACCCAGCTGTAGGATGAATAGATTTAAACAAACTATCCTTTGTTAAAATGAATTGCAACTAGTTTTTAAGCGTTTAAAATTAACAGCTTTGTTACTTAGCTGAATATACGAAAATTAAAAATGATACCGCACAAAACGTCTGAGCGTACGTAAACTGGCGACATTATTAAAAGGGGTATAATAAAAGCCTACATATAAATAATGGTCTGCAGACGTCGCGGTGGCAAAATACAAAACAACGCTTTGAATAATGTCGGAGTCGGATGCCAAAAACTTAAAATTGCAGGAGTACGTTTACGCTCTATGTGGAGATTCCCTCGTCTCGTCCGTCCTTCGAGACCCATTACACTCGTCCCCGTCAAACGCGTGCTTTTAAACCATGGCTGAGTTATGGGAAACATTACTTTAATAAATAAACAGACCTCTATAGAGCGCAAACTACGGGAAGGACCAAACTCATTATAACAAATTAAGGTTTTGACTACTTGAAGTATATGGTACTTCATAGACTTTCGTGTCTCATTATTGTTTTAAATATTCTTTATAGGGTGAAAATTATTTTTACTAAACGTTGTACAGTAAATTATTAAGGCATCATACTAGAATATATAAATAAATAGTAGTTCTTTAATAAAGACTTATGGTTCATAAGCCCAAAATTTGCCAATTAGAGAGTTATTTATTTATGGATGTGTAAAAGCAATTTATAGAACATACAGATTGCAGTATATGAGATACAAGTAGCTAAGTTACGTATCAAGTTTACGAATATCCATGGTCAAAATAAGTCGATAATGCATCTTGTTCAGATATTTTATGTCTGAGTTATTTCACCTACCATCATGTCAATCCCATGTTTGTCTGGCAAACCATAAAACGTTTTTAGGAACCTTGGATAATATATATAATGTAACTAATTGAAGTTGTTTTCAACAGTAACTTTTTCAAATATGACTGGTATACCTCACACCTCGAGCAGTGCAACTTTAATTGCTTTCCAGAAACTGTACAAGGTCTAATCAATCATAGACCACAATGTTTCTGGTTACCTTGTATATGGCTGGCTACTCTCGTAAAATAAGATGATAGACGTGATAAAAACTCTTGAAGATTTTGTCTCTCTTTAAAATAACTAAAAAAACAACATTCAAAGTGCGATAGCGAAAAGCGATTGTTGATTTAACGATTGCTAAAGTAAAGATACTACGACACGTCAGAACGAATGCCGGACAAATCTCATTTTGTTTTAAAGAACAGTTCGTAGATAGAAATAAAGCATAGCATTGTTATAACTACATCAGAGCTTAAGTTGAAAGGAAATAAACAGCGTTTTAAAATAAAGAAGAAAATAAGATATTTTCTGTAGTTACGCGAGTAAAACATATTTAAATAAAACCACTTTTGACCGTTTAAAATGCGAAATATATTGGTTAACTTTTAATTTTATTTAACTACGGCCCTACGTCATATATGTTTAATACTACATACAGGAATGGTCACGGAAAAGGACTTAATATAAATAACTTTAACTCTTTTAGTAAAACACTTTAACGGTTTAAAACGCGATATATTGCAGCAGCCGTAACCCCAACCGAACCCAAGTAACCGAAACGTCGGGCCGATGTAAAAAATAATTTTCAAATAGGTTTAACTAATATATCGCGTTTTACACCGTTAAAGTGTTTTATTTAAATGTGTACTATCCGCGTAAACTATAGACAGTATTTAACTTTAACCCTCTTAAAGTTATTTCATACAACTCCTGTTTTTTCTTTTAAAATCTGGAGATATTCCAGACACCGCTGCTCCGAGTAGACACAAATAATATTATTATCATTAGCTAGTATGATACCCGCAGTTTCTCTACACTGAAGATGACGTAAATAAATGACACTCAATTACGTGTGTGAAATAGATTAACTGTGTTACCTCTGCTACTGAAAACATAAGGCAAGAATAATAGCTAAGAAAATGGTTGGTTTGTAAACGTTCATATGAACAAATTAAATGCTGCATTTTGTGAAATGTACTGGCTATTATAAAATATACTGTAATTCTATTTTAATGTATGTTTTTCATTCTCTTTTTAATTATGTTGAGTAGATTAGTAGACATTATTACAATAATTTGTAGTCAGTTATCATAATAAGTTGTAGATATTATTATAATAGCCTAGCTTACAGCTTGTAGCCTGTAAACTTTTGGGGAAAATAGCTGTAATTTGGAAATAAATACAATTTGATTATGACTACTATTAATATTATTTTTTTACATTTCCCTCTGTTTCTTTGGTCGTATTAGTCGCATCGTGATGTTTCATAGCCTAAAGCCTTCATCGGAAAATGCTCTAACCAAGCCCAAAATATTTGTATTTATTTTTTACGCGAACAAACTCTTCAGCTTTATATATTAGTATAGATTATGATAGATTTGCTATAAAACAGCAGGCTAATAGAAGCGACAAAACAGAGGAAAATGTGTTAAAATGAGGGAAAATTATTAATGTTTTAGGGCTTCTGTGGGGTGCTTTGCGAAAACGGTTCAACATATTTTTGGATACTAAATGTTAAAGAATTTTTCTTCTTTAAACGACCTAAATACGCGACATAAATATATATCTTTTAGGTTTATTTCGATTGAACCGTTTTTCGTGGAAATACTGCATAATATGGCAAAAAAACGCTTACCAGGTCAGCTAGTTCGTCGTAAAAATATATCGTCTTCCCTTAATTATTAATGTTTCTTGCACTAAGTTTGGTGTGAATTATGGCAAAAGTTTGTTAAAATGTTAATTTGAGTATAGTATTCTTTGTGAAACGGTAGGCGCGAGCGTACATATTGGTCTTGATTTTAATCTAGCATGAAAATTAGTCATTTATGTTACGACTTCCGATATATCAGTAGCAAGGCCATATATTTTAGACAACATTAGAACAGGCTGGCACAACAAGATTAGTTAACTTTACCAAGTTGGGTCGAGGTGGTTCGCCCAGCACCTAATTTATGATTTTACTTGCAGCCGATCTATAGATTTATTTGGAAATAAACAAGTTTTGCGTATTGTGACTATTCAAAAACTTCAAAGTGCAAATGTCAAATATTATATATACGTTGATAATATGGCCTTTGCTATAATAGAG